AGAATAGGTGGCTCGCAGCAAAGGTAGAAGAGAGCTCGGAAATAGGTCCTTCAGCAACATACCATAGTCTTACTTAAAATGTTCATCAGACATTCTCTAGCACTTTCCCGCGCACAATGCCTCTTGTGAGTGAGTTTAATCATTGATGACAAAGTTGACAGACAGACAGACAAACAAACAAACAAACAAACAAACAAACAAACAAACAAACAAACAAACAAACAAACAAACAAACAAACAAACAACAACAACAACAACAACAACAACAACAAAGGCCCGTGTGCTCAGATTTGGGTGAACGTTAAAGAACCCCAGGTGGTCGAAATTTCCGGAGTCCTCCACTACGGCGTCTCTCATAATCATATGGTGGTTTTGGGACGTTAAACCCCACATATCAATCAATCAATCAATCGATCAATCGATCAATCAATCAATCAATCAATCAATCAATCAACAACAACAACAACAACAACAACAACAACAACAACAACAACAACAACAACAACAACAACAACAACAACAACAACAACAACAACAACAACAACAACAACAATAATAATAATAATAATAATAATAATAATAATAATAATAATAATAATAATAATAATAATAATAATAATAATAATAATAATAATAATAAGATCGATTCGCACTAAGAGGGGCCAAGCCTGCAGGAAGTTTGTTTCTTTCCTGTTTTTATTTTTTATTCCTCTTCTCCTTTTCTTCTTCTCCTTTTTCGTTTTTTTGTCTTTTCTATCTTCATTTATATTTATTTCTTCCTGTATCATTTTTTTCTGTTTCTTGCTCTTTATATTTTCTTCGTATTTTCCTTTTTCTTTCTCTATTTCGCACTTTCTTCTTTTCTTTTTCTGTTTTTTTTCTTTGCCTGTGTTACCCCAAGCCCATTACTTTTTTTTTTTTTGAAGTGATGATATGTGATCATCGTCCAGGCACTCGAAGAAGAACAAGAGGACGAGCACTTCTCCCGATAGATGCGTGAAGCACGTTCGATACACCACAGTGGCGCGCAACGCCAAGCGACCACGACCGCAAACAAAAGCACACTACGACCCGGGCTCCTAAATATGATATGTGGGGTTTTGACGTCTCAAAACCACCGTATGATTATGAGAGACGCCGTAGTGGAGGGCTCCGGAAATTTCGACTAACTGGAGTTCTTAACGTGCACCCAAATCTGAGCACACTGGCCTACAGCATTTTCGCCTACATCGAAAATGCGGCCGCCGCAGCCGGGATTCAATACGCCGACCTGCGGGTCAGCAGCCAAGTAGCTTAGCCACTAAACAACCACGGCGCCTTAAAGTGATTATGGCAATTGACTGCTGACCGGAAGTTCGCGGGATCAAACCCCGGCTGCGGCGGCTGCATTTTAGGTGAAGGCGAAAATGTTTGAGGCCAGACTACTTAAACCCCAGCTATTTAATATTATTATTATTGATATAATCATGAGCTGGATGTGAGACGCGGTGCTTGTACAGCATTACCATCACTTCCGCTGCGTTTCCAAGCAGAGTAAGTTATTTTCAACCTAGACTAGTGCCTGTGTGGTAGAAAACTCGCTTGCCACGAGATCGGCTTGGGCTCGACACTCAGTCAGACCAAAAAATTTTTCATACTGACAGCAGCGCAACAAAAGACAAGGAATATGACGAAGACAGGCGAGCGCCGACTGTAAACTCAATCCGCGCTCGTCTGTGCTCTTCCTGTCTCTTGTCCTTCGTTGCGCTGCTGGCAGTATGATGGACTACCAACTTGCCCAGTGACTCGCTCTCAGGAAATTTTTATTGTTTACTTTATTTGCACCTTTCTCGACTTTTCTGTCCCGGACAAGATGATTTTTCGCTCACCATCACCCACGCCGGCATCGGAAGTTTTGATAAACGAGCTCTTTTACACTGTCACGTTAGTGCGCCCTTCGTGATACAGCCTACCCGACCGATAAGAATTCTAGGTGAAGTAGATTTATAAGGGCTCCCCCACCAGAGTACTGTGAACCTAATTGGATAACTATACTCGATAGTAGAATGCACAAAACAAAGGAAGAACAACGTCAGAGTTTGTTGAACAGCCTAGTAGAAAGATAGGGCTGGAAAGCCTATAGAAGACGACCTATCGAATACGAAGGAAACAAAAATGTCGCATTGTTCAACTGATGTGAACGCGCAGGCAATCTGTTCCCAAAACTGCGTAAACCGAGTTGTGTCGTCTCCCCACTCCTTAATTCATGGAGCCAGACTGACACTCTGTAGCATTGCTTTTGGCAGTATCCGGACGAAACCGGTTTGAGATAGAAGTTCTTTACGTCCACGTGAAAGGGCTCCTTCGTGTCGCGAGCTTTGAACCGGGAGAATCGTAGAAATACTTTTTAGTAAGCACGAAAGCAGCCTCGTGGTTGATTGATTGATTGATTGATATGTGGGGTTTAACGTCCCAAAACCACTATATGATTATGAGAGACGCCGTAGTGGAGGGCTCCGGAAATTTAGACCACCTGGGGTTCTTTAACGTGCACCCAAATCTGAGCACACGGGCCTACAACATTTCCGCCTCCATCGGGAATGCAGCCGGGATTCGAACCCGCGCCCTGCGGGTCAGCAGCCGAGTACCTTAGCCACTAGACCACCGCGGCGGGGCAAGCAGCCTCGTGGTTACATTCCTTCATAGCACTTGGGGTGCAATCTTATACATGTTAGGTCTTTGTTGCGTTTTTGTACGTTCCGTCCAGGCTCATACAATTGGCCAGAAGTCAGTTGCCTTCGTAAAACAGCTGATTTCTGGAGATTGCTTGGGAGCAGAACAGACGTCTGAAGGTTAGACACACACACACACACACACACACACCACACACACACACACACACACACACACACACACACACACACACACACACACACACACACACACACACACACATATATATATATATATATATATATATATATATATATATATATATATATATATATATATATATATATATATATATATATATATATATAATCTTTATTTTGCAAATGTAGCTTTGGAAAAGAGTCCTTGTTGCAGAGTGCACTGACACTGAGCAAAGACAAAACGAGTACAAGATTCTGCCCCACGTTGTTGCAATCTCCTTCTTTGTTTACGCCTTTGTTTACGCTTCGATTGCAGAAAAGCCACGCTCCGCGAAGAGAAGCAAAAACCACGTCTGCCAATCAAAGAAGAGAATAAGAAGAGGGGCTCTTTTATCGTCCACCTTTTATCATTCTTTGCGCGACGCCGATCGAGAGAGAAAGCTTTGCGGAAAAAATTAGTAGCGTGCAACGACCGAGTCCTTTTTCTCTTCTCTAGAGCGCGCAAACGCCTCTCGTTACTGATTGACCGAAACGAGCCCGCGCCTTAGTTACACTGCACGGAAGTTTGTGAGTCTAAGTACAGTATCAGGCATGACGCCATACCTAGTATTTCTTGTCTCAACGCTTCTCGGCCGGAGTATTCGTGATCTCTGTGTACCTGAACCATCGCGAACAGCTCCCATGTCAGACGACTCACCTTACCTTTTTTTCTGTCCGTTTATGACAAGACAGCTGATTTCACAACTGGGTCTTGCTTTCTATATATTCTGATCTGTGCTTCTGTACTTGACTCTTCAGGCTTAATAAACAGCGTGGCAAATAAAAAAAAAACGACATACGACATTTTACAGATCTCTAATATATATATATATATATATATATATATATATATATATATATATATATATATATATATATATATATATATATATATATATATATATATATATATATATATTGATTCTCACTAATGTCGAGCTTAGTTTTTCAGTAACAAAACATAACAGAATCAGGAAATCAGGAGGACGAGAAAGATAATATCTTATCAATATATCAAGAAGCGAAGCGCTCAAGTTTTCAACGTGGAACGACAACAGCGGGAAGTCTGGCGCACGTTTTTTTTTTTTTTTTTACCCATGTCTCTATCGTTTCACTGGAGAGCTTCAACGCCACTACCCTTACGCACGAGCACTTTAAGGAGCGTCTTTGAGCTTCTCTTAAGCTGCTTATGCAGTAATTGCTGAATAATCCCAGCACACGTGGAGTTTTACACCGAACGCCACTGACTATCTCTCGAGATTTGACACTGCACTGAGCGTAATCTCCGGAGCCAGTGACGCTCTACATGAATTCTTGCGCATGACGCAAACCGTCTGGAACTAGTTGCGCCATTTTTGTGTCAGAGCGTTAGCAATGCGGTTTCTATTCCACGAAAGCGGGCTGTAAGGTTAGCATCATTCCTCGGACAGCAGGAAAGTCTTAACGTAATATTCCGTTCTAAATGCATTCAGTTTAATCTGCGGAGTCTGGTGTCTGTTCAGTGCAGCTGCTAACTCCAGAGGTCAACGTCACCCGAGACAGCAGCAGCCAGTGCGCTTTCAAGAAACGCTCGACAATCAGGTGCTGGTGCGCAGCAAGTAAAGAACGTAAATAAATAAGAGAGTTTGAACTAGTAGCGCTAAGCCTGAAGAAAGTTGGTTGGTTGGTTGGTTCTTCAACATCGTGGCGCAACCCACTGCGAAGGATAGGCCATGAATCGGACGGTGCCTTGCCTCTTAAACTAATGCACTTATGGAGGAAAGGGTCGAAGATGCATTGTTTACACGGGCCTCAAGTATTTCCACCTCCATCGGAAATGCGTTACTGTTACTGTCCTGCGATGTGCCCCCAGTGCCCACTAGCTTGACCAACTAGCTTGACTGTCTGATGTTTGAAGCGCGGTTACTTTCTTCCCGTCGACCGCTATCTCGAGAGCCGGCGGGACGTAGAGTGAGCCGCTGCCGCCAGGTGACAGCTCCGAACCAGAGTGCGGTGGAAAGGAGGCGAACGGGCCGAGAGAGACAAAAGAGAGAGAGCGAGTCGCTCCCGGCGGCGCGTCCCGGCAGAGTGCGCCATCGGCGGCGGCGGCGTCGCACGTAACTCCGCAGAGCCCAGCCACAAAATGACGGCGACGGGGAGCGTGCATAGACGGCGGCCTCCGGGCAAGCCTCGTTCCAGATCCTTGGCCAAGCGGGCCAGCTAGAAACGCCCCGCTGTTTGGGGTGGCCCCGTCTCCGCTGGTCAGCGATGCAGCCGGAAGAGAGCAGCGGCCCCTGCTTCCGCTACTGGATTACCGTCTGCTTCTCGCTGGTGGTGGTCGTCAGCGTCGCCGATCCCGGCTCGCATGCAGGTGAGGAGATCGCTCTCGTACGCTGGCACTTCTAACGCTGCGTGGCTTCGACGACGCCGAACAGAACGGTGCACGCAGCGTACAATGACTCCACTACACTGGCCACTGCGCGCGCGGAGTTAACAGTTCAGTGCAGTCCTCAATGACGAACCGAATACACTTGGGATTCGTTCGTATGAAGTCAGAAAGATCACCGCGTTTGTTGTCGGTAGAAGCCTCTTTGTTACCATCGCCTATGACTGGGAAACGTTGCAACATGCGCAAATACTACCACCGCTCCTTGTCGTTAGCCCGACAGGCTATGTGCGGGATAAACGTCCGTAAATAGAATAGAGTCAGTGCGCAAAGCGAAGAAGAAAAATGAAACATTACAACAACAAAAAACCGGTTTCTTTCGTCTCGCTTTTTTTTTGTAGCTCATATTGTACAGCAATGACTGTTCTCTGCAGGTCCACATACTTTCGAAATTGATCCGGCTGCGTCACATGCGAATCCGAGCCGTTTCGCCGCACTGTAAGCGTAGTGGATCCGCCACTGTCCACACCGAGTTTTCACCCCCTATTATCCGTTTCACTTGTGTGCGCTTACGAATGATTGACACGGGGAAACATGGAGTGCAGCTGGAATTAGCTGTAACTAAACGACAACCGTACGTGAGCTTCTAGGTTTCGAGGGAACAGTGGTCTCCGATTAATTGCACTTATCTTGATTATGTTGGTTTTACGCTCGAAAACTAAAAGTTGCCAAGTACTTCCTATTCCTCCCGCATAATAGGGACGAAAGAATGTGTTTGTGGGTTTGGCGTGCAGCCCGATGTCACAGCAGTCACCACAACCACGAAAAGCATGCAGTGATTGACGCGAATGCGCGCAAGCTCAGAACCGACATGTCTACAGCTTAGAGAAACCAAGTTTACCGTTTCTCTTAATGCCTAATCTGATTGATGCACGTGTGGTGCAGCGTGCACGGTAAACTCCGTGGTGCGTTGCGGCCGACGTAGCAACAAATCCACACATGCGCCTTGCCAGAGTTAGCGTGTCGGCATGTATGTGGAAGTGTGACGCTGGCTTAATTTGCCCGCGCGTGCGACACTTGATACAGCTCACAAAGCCAAACGTCATACTCGTGAGCCAGTCATTTTCTTAAAAGGAAAGCAATGTGTCTGGCGTTGAGCCTCTGATGTAAGGTCCCCGTTTACTCGCTTCTGCGAGCTGCCCTGCGATGAGCATCGGCCTCACAGTGCACCCAAACATTCGGAAGCTCGCAAGCATTGCACAAAGATGACTCTGCAAAAGAAAAGCTGGGCCTCCAGTGCGGGTGGCTGCGTGTTTTTCGTATCGATCATTCAGCACCAGCAGCGTCGCGGGCATCGGCGTTGACATCGAGCGTGATCCCCAGCACGCTGGATCCACGCACAGCACCACTTCGATCGGCACAACTACGTAGTTTTCGCGGAGTCAACGCCGGAGGGCCACCGTTCCCACTGGAAGGGACAAGAAATCTGGCCACCGCTCTGCTGTCATCTCGCTACGGCATTTTCCAACGGTGAAACGCGCCCTCATCCAATCGAGCGAGTCAAGCAGCGGCAGTAAAAGAAGAACGCGGGATTTTCTTTTTCCGGCTGTAAAAGAAGAACGCTTCTTCCAGTGACGTCACTAGCCTCCAAAGAGTGTCGACGTAGCACAATGCGACGGCGAAACGTCGCCGTTTCGGTTGCAGCCGACGTCGGATCAGGGGGGGCTTGAAAACCACCATAAGGGAACGCTCGCAAGAGCCGGCCGAGCAGCCAGCGATGAGGGAGAGGGGGGAAACAAAAGAAAAAAAGGACCAAACCGCGTGCTCTGCAGTGAAGCGTGCTGTCGCGGGGGGGCTCCTCCTCTCCCCACGCACCCATTGGGAGAGCAGGGAATGAGTGCGCATGCGCCCTTCCCGTCCCGCCTGTCGGGTCCCTCGCGCTCATTAATAAGGGAAGCGCAGCAGCCGCTGGTGCGCCTGTCGCGCTGTCCGACGCGGCGCCGAGATGCTTGCTCGCCGGAGCCGTCCTGGCGATGCTGGGACTAAGAGTTTCCCGCGGCGTTGCATTTTTTAAAGGGCGTGCCGTTTTCTCGAGTCCCGCGATCACGACGCAGTCGCTTTAACGGTGCCCGCTTTGGGGCGACGCTAAGCAAAAAAGCCACCCGACTATGACTAGTAACGCAGCATGGGACCGAGATCTTCGACGACTACACGGGCGCAGCGTGTCGTATTCTTTCCCTTTCTTTCCTAGCGGAGTCGTTGTACGTGCATTTTTCACTCGACAGCAAAAAGTTGCTCGGCCCAAAGGGAGACCGCTGCAGGGTCCTGGTGGCGTCGCCGCCGAGGACAAGATGTACGGCGTCCGTGTTGGCCGAGGCAGTTGAAAAATTGGGTCGCCTTTTGTTTCGAGCGCGCGACTCTGACCGTGACACTGATACGGTGCAGCGCAGAATATGCTGCGGCTGGTGTGCGCAAGAAAAAAAAAAGTCCCTTTAGCTCTGACAGATATACGCACGAAAACCGGCGCAGGGCACGCAAAGAGGTTAGTAAGCACCCATGAATAACCTGCCTGGCCGAAGTGCCGCCCACCTTCGTCCAATATTAATGCTTCTACAGATCCGTAGTTGTACTCTTTCACGTGTTTTGCATGATCTGCTTTTACAACGTTTCTTTTCCGCATCTCCGTTTAATACACGCCGGAGGAGAGACAGCTGAGAAGACTATATTTGCGAGAAGCTACTTGCTGTCGGTAACACAGCCAGCACACAAAGGTCACAGTAAGCTAACAGACACTCATCAAAGATGTATAGTAATAACTACAAACATAATCACTGACCGTTGTGCCAAAAAAATTTGCTCCGTTTAAAACACGCTTTGTACAACCAAACTGAACACTTGTATCCTTCTTTCTCGCTGGATAAGTAGTAACGTGCTTTAGTTATATCCTTAAAATATTTTAAAATAATTTGTAATGAAACCTGTAATAAAATTTGTCAAACATAACATGTGTACATGCCGTGCCTAAATAAGGCAATCAGCCAATGATCGCCTGTCTTCCGACCTTGTTTCAATGGTACATCTCATATAACGTCACATGGTGCGGCTTCAAGTGCCAATATCGCCGTAAGGTTACGAAGGCAAACTATTACAGGGGACGGTTACGGGGGATGCACTGTAATAAAGGACACGTTCGCCTTCGCTCGCCGGCATGTGGATGAGTAAAATCCGCGTCCTGGGTTTAGCGACGTAACACCTGATCGGCTTAGCTATCACGCGGGATAATCTCTCCTTTACGAAGTACCGAGCGATACGAAAGCCTTGGCTTCCATCATAGTTTCTTTTTTATGTAACAGTAAGCCTGCATCACTACATACATTTTCTTTTCGGACCCAGGACTAGCCTTTGGCTACGGGTCCAAGCAGTATGATGATATTTTGTGTTGTATGATTCAACAAATAAAAAAATAAAAACCCCTCGCATATCAATTCACATGCCCGAATGTCAGTCTCGACACATGTTTTGCTGACTAGTGTTGCGTGGCAGACTTTTTGATAATTCATTGCTACAACAAGTATAGCGCATTCAAGGTTGAACAGATTGATTGATTTGTGGGGTTTAACGTCCCAAAACCACTATATGATTATGAGAGACGCCGTAGTGGAGGGCTGCGGAAATTTCGACCACCTTGGGTTCTTTAACACGCACCCAAATCTGAGCACACGGGCCTACGACATTTCCGCCTCCATCGGAAATGCAGCCGCCGCAGCCGGGATTTGAACCCGCGACCTGCGGGTCAGCAGCCGAGTACCTTAGCCACTAGACCACCGCGGCGGGGCAAGGTTGAACAGAGCGTGTGTTTATGTGTCACCACTGCAGCTTTGGCCCGTCTTCGGAGCACTATAATAGCCAGTCGTCAAACGTATAGCGTCCCCGACAGTGCACAGTTCTAACGACAAAGCATACCGCTCACTCCGCGGGAGATTTCGTTTCTTTAGCTTCGCAGCCTCCTTTAGATGCAGGCAGTATTACGGCAGTCAGGCGTTCGCAGTGACGCAAAGCGGCCAGTCTAGGAACTATGGAGGAGGCGTACGGGTGTCGATGTCGTTGAGTGAACGCCGTCATTTGGCGGGACGCGTTGCTTACACGACGCTCCGTTGTCCCCGGCAAAGGCTCCGCGACGCTCGACAAACAACCGCCCCATACACCGCGTGCAGCCACAGGCAAAATGATGACTCTTCTGTGACAGCGCCAGTGCGCCTCTCAGCCGCACGCGCGCCCCTCTTAAACGAGGGCGACCCATTTCAACACTGTGCAACTCGCGCGGGGCGCTTTGTTGCGCGTCTTTTGGTCGGGCATCAAAAGTGTTGCACTCTGTAGTATCGCCATTGAATTAATCGACGGCGCTTAAAGGGGCCCTCACCAACTCGCATTCAAAGGCGAGGAAATGACTTCCTCCTCGCCACCTATTTCTTAAAAGCGCGTGTACGATGTCAGCGCTAAGTGTCGCGGTTGTCGCATATTCACGCTGTTATCTTCGCTTTGCGCAGTCGTAGTAAACACACGAAACGAACCGAAAGTCAGTCGATCGTGCTTAAGAATCACTTGAGACAAGCAAGAACGGATGGGTCGCCGCAGTGCATGGTTCCTGCAGCTGACAAGCCACGTCGATACTTCGCACGCATTGACCAATGGGGAGTATACGTACTACACAGACGCCACGGGAATCACTGCTCTTGCGTCACGAAAAGCGCCAGAAAGACGACAAATGCCGGGTGAGAATAACGCGTTCGATTTCTTTTAATGTATTTTCAGAGGCTGACGATCGAGGGGGCCCTTTAACTAGCCCCCATTACGCCCGTACTGACACGCTATACACGGCGTTTCCTAACGTAATTGACGCGTTTACCCATGTTTTGCGCCAATCGGTTCAATGCCTCGACGTCACCGCATCTCGCTTTCACATCGCCCGTTAAATGCGCGCGTGT